TGGCGCATCCCAAAAGAGACCGATCAATGCCGATTGCCTTCCCTGCGTGATCATTAAGGAGCTTCTATGAAAAATGCTATCGTTCATTTCGTGGGCACGGGCAATCACAAGCTGGCGTTTTGGGTGTGTTGCGTTCTGGCAGAATTACCGTAAAAAGGTCGTCTGATCAAAAGATAAGCCCTAAATATCCGGGGGCTATTTTAGATAGCGAAAGAGATCGCTGGCGCTTCTCAAAAGGCATCTTTTCCTTTTATGGATGTTATCAGAGATCCGCGGCACGGTAACAAATCACTTTCCCTGAAGGACAGAGCGGTGTCGTAATCTGAGATGCAAAATAAATCATCAGGTTTTTTCTCACTATAGAATTCCTAAAGGAATTTCAGATAAGACTGCTATGACGGCGGTGTCCGCTATGATGGCGATACCGGAAGACACACCTAATAGCCCTGCGATCATTCCACCGAACAGGACCACCAGCGTCGACCCCCATGACGGTCACATCAAAGCCGTACAGCAATAATTACGTTTCGAGACAGCCGCCCGTCACGTTGTTCGCCCGACACGCTCAGGTCGTGCTCGTAAAGCGGTACGAAACAACCACTAAATCTTATTAATCGAAAACGACAAACATTCTCAGCTGTGCTAATTGGCCAAGAGGTCAGATGTGTTTCCGGGCGGATGAGCCTGAGCTGCAGTCAACGAGATTAGTGAAGAGCTTATCAAGAGCTGCCCCTCCATGTGCGAGCGGAACTAGCCGATTCCTTGTAGCCATAGAATCGCTCAGTAAGGTTGAGCTGCACAAGCTTCCCAATGGTCTTTGGATTGCGCCATTTATGTGAACGTTGGGGCAATTGAATTGATTCTCACAGTGAAGGAGCTCGCTTAAGAAAGGCCAAAGATTTTCAGTTTAGGAGATTGAATCATAATATTGTGGACTTGAACATGAATATTGTCCTCTGTAAGACCCTACTGTTAGGGGCTTAGTGGGCTCGGGAGCCCCATGCACTACTCCACCGAGGTTTCGAGCGCTTATCTATTAGGTTGCCTCATAAATAGTGTCGTTTTTCTTCAAACAAAAAATTTTGAGCTAAAATCCTAGGCTTTGAAAACATCTTATATACCATTCGAAAGAGAATTGTCAGCTCGAGTCTTCGAATTGGGAAGTCCAGTCGACGAGAATCAGCTAAACCGACAGCGAGCTCTAACTCTATTTTCCTTGAGGAGAAATCAATCAATGGTGTACCTTTCACTTACTCATGACCTCTTCCAAACATTTCGCTATTAGGCTTGCCAGCAACTCGCTTCGCTACTTTCGCAGATTTGGCTTTCCCGCAAGAATTCGATGGTCAACCACCCGCCCTTGAAATTTGGGCCAGAAATTTTTTAAAGCCGAGACATTGAAAACTAGTGGAAGTTAAGAGCAAGCCATATCTAAGTTGAAAATGTATATCTGATTGGTTTTCTCTCCTTTTCGAGGGAAATTTTTTGCAAAGTAAAGTGGTCATTTTCATGTATCGGTCACCCTATCACGCAGCATTAAAATTCGACCCGATTCATTACGAGTATAAAGCCAAAACATATGGACAAGTTCAGCAGTAGAATTGCTTACGAATGCCATATCACTTTATATGAAACAATGGTGATTTAGCGGAAAAATTTTAATTTGAAGAACACTATGGCTTATCAAAAATCAAATTCTTAAAGAAATGGGGGAAGGCTTTTTCTGCAACTTAACAGCGAAATGTTTAGAAGAGGTCATGAGTAAGTAAAGGGTACATCATTGATTGATTCCTCCTCAGGGAAAATAGTGTTAGAGCTCGCTGTCGGTTTGGCTGATTTTCGTCGATTGGACTTCCCAATTCGAAGACTCTAAGTTCGAAAGCTGCGCAGTGATTATAGAAACCAAACATGCCATTTTGTAGAGCAGACAATTCTCTTTCGAATGGTCTATAAGATTCTATAAAAGCTTAGGGTAAAAACACACTGTTTATGAGACAACCTAATATTAAATGCCTAAACGATTTTCCATTAAGATAGCGGTATTGTTTTTCTCTTCGTGTTCCGATTTTTTTCAGTTCCTCTCACCCCTTTAGTCCTATTAGTCGGATTAGCAATTGCCCTATAAATCCTTCCAATACTGCTGCAGTAGGGCAATTTGAAAAGAAGGTGCAGCGATGCTTACATTAAGCGCTATTTTTTGAACCTCTAATCACATTTTTCAAGAGAGAGAGAGGAAGAAAGCTTAATTTTGGTAGTAAAGCTTTTAGGGTGAGGAACAACGCTGTTATTCGTTATGATAGCTTGATATTATATTTGCATCCAATTTTAGAGCCCATGGAGTACAGAACCACTTTTAGAAAATTTCGGAAGCTACAGGATGTGTAAAGATTGATAAAAGTCAATAAATTGGTTAAAAGGATAGGTAAAAGAAGAAAAATTGAGAAAGAACAATGACTCAGTGTGACCTGTTCAATTCAAAGCAGTTAATATCGCAATGGAATTTAAATCCGATGGATAGACTTTGAAATGAGATTTTTTGAACCCATAAAAATCTTCGTCAACTTGAGAGATGTACCCCATGAGGAAAAGGAGAGGGGTAAGAAAAGGAAAAGTGTATGGGCTTCATTGGAGAAGGAGACCACTTCAGTGGTGACGGCGATCTGTGACTTGCCAAGTGGTCCTGTTTCAGGGAAATGAATCTGTAAATCTCTATAGAGTTCAAGTGGTCTGCTGAGGTATTCTGCCACAAAGCTATGTTTGGGTTTGTTGTTTACAAAACAATCGCCAAACTCCAGCAGAACAACTCATAAATTAATCATTAGTATGCGCTTGTTGTTAGGGAAGAGGAGGTGAAGTGGTACAAATGCAAGTGTGACGGCATAACAACAAAAACTGCGAAGTTCTGGAATTGTGAAAGTTTCAAGCCTTGCATTGAACTCTTATTAAAAATAGTAGATTCATTTGGATGCGTGCCTTGCTGTGATTAAGGTTTGTGAAGGACAACAATGTTTCATAAAACAAATTATTTTTGTGGATGAATTCAATGTTCAGTTCGATACAATACTTAAGAATTGACCTTTGGATAGTTAAAAACCTAAAGGCATATCACGCGATGAAACTGAAGATGAAAGGAACTGATGAACATGAAGATGAAAGCAGGGATGCGAA